ACTTCCGGTTTGAAATGTCAATGTCATTTTGACATATTCTTAATTTTTATAAAATGTCTTAATATTTGTCACAAAAACAAAAATATAATGAAAAACAATAAAAAATTAAGGTTGGTATTAATATTTAAAACTAAAATTGCTAAAATAAAAGTTGCTAACTTCGGGTTTAATATTTTTTATTCTAACTTTTTTGTTTTTTGAGATAAGTGCGTCATGTTTGGACTTATTTTAAAGGTTTTTTAATGAAGATGATAAATATGTCAAAATTGACGTTGACGTTTCAAACCGGAAGTAGTTTTATTTCCATTTATATTAAAGTTAAATATGTCGAGTTTGGACGACTCATTTTAAAAGATTTTTATCCCCGAAACTTTCTAGTTCTAGGTCTAGTGCAACATAGTGATATTTCATGCTAACTAGTGCATTTTGAATTTAAAAATTAAGCGGGAAATTTGAAATAATTTAATTAGAATTTTCTTCTCTTAGAATATTTTAATTAAAAAATTAATTTGACGTACCTTTGATCGTGGAAATCAAAATAATTAGATTCATAGATTCAAAACGATGCATTCTTCAAAATAAATTAATTCCAAACAAAATCGTTTTCACCAAACAGTTGTTCAAGTTTGAAAGACGTCACATCCATAACCTAAAAAAAATTTTTATTTGAATATGATTTAAGTCAATTATACGTTTTAATTATATACCTTAAAGCTACACATTTTAAACAAAAACGTCTTCTTTTAATTTGTGATATCGCACATTAAATAAATTGTTAAAAATAAGTCCTAAATCTTGACAAATCAAAACTGTCAAATTGTACCTATACAACTGAAGTTAGCTCAAATTGTTTTCAAGTCAATTAAAAACTTTTTTAATTTAATTAATTATTAAATAATCTTTTAATTAAATGAATTATTATTATTTATTTAATCAATTAATTATAATTGTAATTTGCGTTATGTTATTATTTGAATCGTTCCTCAAACTGTTAAAAAAAAGCGGGAAATTTGAAATAATTTGATTAAAATTTTCTTTTTTTACAGCAACAAGTGAAAGTGAAAATAAATACGATGGATCGCGAATTAGAATTTGTGACTTCATTAAAAACAACCGGAAAAAGTCTTTTTGAAATGGTCAGCCGAAATTTGGGGGTCCACGAAATATGGTTTTTTGGTATTTGTTATGTCGATGCGTCAGGCGAAGAAATTTGGATCGATAATTCCAAAAAAGTAATAACTTATTATTTATTTAAAATAATTATTAATCCAACTAATCTTTAAGTTGGTATTACTTATAAACTAGTTTTGAGATTTGACAATGACAGATAAATTAACCTCAAACTCAAAGTTTTTTAATTAATATACTTTTTTTGATTGTAGACTTTAAAAGATTATCGCCAATACGTTCAAAAGTTAAATTATCGCGTTAAATATTACCCAGAAGACATCGAAGAAGAATTAATCGAAGATAATACGATTAAATACTTTTTTTATCAGGTTAGACACGCTATATTAAACGAAAAAATTTATTGTCCCCCAGATACTTCAGTTCTATTAGCATCTTATGCGTGTCAAGCTCGTTTTGGTGATTACCACAATGATGTGCATAACACAGATTTTTTAAAAAAACAGCGACTCCTACCCAACAAGTAATAAAGAAAGATTAAGTAAAAGAAAGATTTTGATCGATTTCTTTGTTTCCGCAGAGTTTATAATCAACATAAAATGAAGCCAGAGGAGTTCCACGAAACAATATTAAATATGTGGCTAAAACATCGTGGAATGATGAAGCAAGACGCAATGACCGAGTATTTAAAGTTAACGCAAAACTTGGAAATGTATGGAGTTCATTATTTTGAGATACACAATAAACGAGGGACGAAATTGTTGCTTGGAATCCATGCGATAGGGTTAAACATTTATAAATTATCGGATAAAATGAATGCGATCATTATGTTTCCGTGGTCGGAAATTAAAAACATCAATTTTCGAGATAAAAAATTCACAATTAAGGGTTCTGATAAGAAATCGTCCGATTTTATTTTCTTTTCGAAAGATGGATATTTAAATAAAAGAATTTTAAATTTGGGTAATTATTAACTTTTTATAAATTTATAAAAAATTATAAAATGTTTTTAGGTGTTGGAAATCATTATTTATACGTTCGTAGAAGAAAACCGCCAACGTTAGAAGTGATCCAAATGAAAGAAAAAGCAATGGAACAAAAAAAAACGTTACACGAACAAAGAACTCGCCTACAATCGGAAATTTCCGCAAGAGAAGAAGCGGAAAAACGCGAAAAATTATATCAAAATCAGCTTCGTTCGCTTCGCGAAGAAGTTGAACGTAGTCGAAATTCTTTACTCGAGGCTCAATCGACAATTCAAAAATTAAAAGATCAACTTTTTGAACTACAACGTGCTAAAGATGAACTCGAAAAGCAACAAAATGAGCTTAAATATTTAATGGAAAAATTAGAAGAAAGTAAAAACATGGAATCGGTTGAAAAACGAAAATTGGAGGACGAAATTTTAGCGAAACAAATGGAAGTTGCGAAAATACAAGAAGAAGTTGAAGCGAAAAATTTAGAAACGATGCGGTTACAAGAAGAAGTTGAAATGGCGAAAAGAACGGAGGAAGAGTTGAGGATGCAACAATTGAAAGAAATTGCTGAAATGACGAGAAGGGAAGAAGAAAAAGAATTGGAATCGTTACCGGAAAATGCTAATGATGAACTTCCCGAATTGGTACTTGTAAATGAACAGCTAAGAGAACAATTAAAGGTAATTAATTTAATCATTAATCAACAAAAATTAAACCAAAAATTTTAGATTTTACAAGATAAATTGGAGAAATCCCTGGATGAAACTAAAGAAACGGAATTGGATAAACTTCATAGAGATAATCTAAAAGAAGGTAGAGACAAGTACAAAACTTTAAAAGAGATTCGAAAAGGAAATACTGTAAGAAGAGTAGATTTATTCGAAAATCTATAATGAAAAAAAAAATTCATGTTTAAGGATTAGTTGTTGTGAAATTGTTGTTTTATTAAGATTGTTATCTTACTTTTTAAGTTATTAATTGTATAGATTGTAAAATTAATTTAATTTTTAATAAAAAAATTAAAAAAATTGACATGCCGATAAAGTAGATTCCTTTATTCTTTATGTAGATCACATATCAATGTCGAAATCAGTTTATTAGTTACTAATTTACAAAATTAAAGTTTAACAAGTTGTAAAATGAAATTAAGGACGAAGTGTTACAAGTTTGCAGGNAAATTCATGTTCAAGGATTAGTTGTTGTGAAATTGTTGTTTTATTAAGATTGTTATCTTACTTTTTAAGTTATTAATTGTATAGATTGTAAAATTAATTTAATTTTTAATAAAAAATTAAAAAAATTGACATGCCGATAAAGTAGATTCCTTTATTCTTTAAGTTAAAATATCACATATCAAAGTCGAAATCAGATTATTAGTTACTAATTTACAAAATTAAAGTTTAAAAAGTTGTAAAAAGAAATTAAGGACGAAGTGTTACAAGTTTACAGGTTAAAATTTAAAATCTCTCTTTTTTAATAAAAGAAATATTAAGAAACTTGAGAAAAATTGAAATGATAACCAACTTCAGGTTTAAAATATCAACCCCGCACGTCTCTCAAGACGGCTAAACCCGAATGATTCTAGTTCTAGGTGTTGTGTTAGTTCTACTGATAGTGTTAGTGCAAAACCAGAAGTAACACTAGACCGAGAACTAGAAACATTCGGATTTAGCCGCACGTCTCTCAAGACGGCTAAACCCGAATGATTCTAGTTCTAGGTGTTGTGTTAGTTCTACTGATTGTGCTAGTGTAAAACTAGAACTAACACTAGAACTAGAAATATGCGGGTTTAGCCGTGCGTCTTCAGACTTTCCTAAGTTCTTGTCTAAGACGCCCGGCTAAACCTAAAACTTTCTAGTTCTAGGTAAAATATGTTTTTTTTTATGTAATCCACTTACCTTGCTTATGAGTTCATCCATTTACCCAGTTTGAATTAAATACAACCTTTAAATCCAATTAATTATGTGTTTTTCATTAAAAAATCTTAAATTCAACGTCAATTTTGATAAGCATCTGCAATGTTTGGATCTTAATCACCATGGTAACCGAGTCAAGTTGGATAACCTAACAATAATAAAATTATAACCGTTAATATTTCGCTTATATTTTAATCTTTTTTTTTATATTTTTGTGTATTGCTTCTTAAGTGAAATACACTGTATAAATAAAAACATTGAAATGTCCCTCGATGAAACTAACAGAAGGTAGAGACAAGTATAAAACTTTAAAAGAGATTCGAATAGAAAATACCGTAAGAAGTTCAAGGATTAGTTATTGTGAAATTATTGTTTTATTAAGATTGTTATCTTACTTTTTAAGTTATTAATTGTATAGATTGTAAAATTAATTTAATTTTTAATAAAAAAATT